GTACAGCAAAATCCCTCTATCACAGGCTGGTAGATGCTGAGTACATACATCAGAAGGACTGTTTGTACTTGCTCTATTTCTCTACTTTAAGCGTCTGCTACTCATCACTCACAGTAGGATCGTAGCCGGATGGACTTTTAACCTGACCCAGTCTGACTGTTCTCATGTGTTTAACCGGGCTGACATTGCCTGGAGTGTGTTTGAGTCGAGTCACGCAATCAGCTCTGACAGCCGTGCTGTAGAGGTGGTGCAGTCGCTGGGAAAGGAATAGCTGTTCACAGCTTGCTTTTCATTCATGTCGGCAAAGCTCAAGCCCCAGTGACTGCTTCATATTGAATTGTCTGCACGGAAATAAAAATACTAAGCAAATCATATAGGCAGTTAGGTTCTGACAGAAGCAATTCAAAAGAAAAGGGGAAGGGTGGATATGCATATATATGTCAGAATACGGTAGAGGCAATCCAGAAGATCTCAAATATGAAGTTAATACATTGCAAAAGTCATCTTATTATAAATTATTATAAATAAAATGTAAATGAGCCACTGAAAAAATCAATAGAGGTAGTCAATTCAAGAATGGCATGACTAAAATGTATCTAATTATAGAATGGAAACCTGAATGTCATTCTTAAGAGGGACCAAAACAACACACAAGTGCTAGGGCTTTTGTGGCTGCCCTGCCCTCCACAGTGGAAGGAAAAAGTACCCACAGCCCTGCCACAGCAATACCTGGGGAGAAGCTGCAGTCACCCTCTTCCTACCTCATCCATACTTTGTCAGCTATTATCTTAATTAGCCTCTGTGTTCATAAATACAAAGACTAGAGCCATGCCCTTATCAGTTGATCCTTTGCACTAATAAAGTTATAGAAATTCTTTTAGGTATAAAGGGATTTGCTGGGTGATGCCATGGGGTGCAGCCAGGTTCATGCACAGAAATGCTCGGCATCTTGTTTGTAGATGGGATTAACACCAGTACAAAGCATCTACCTGACAGGTTTTGATCAGTTCAGATGTACCTGTGTAGCTATGCCACTGGCTAAAGCCTTCAGCCTTAGGCTATTTGCTGCTTTTCATCCTTGTTTAGCTACCATCTCTAACGCATAAGAAACATGTCACGAGCCATGATGAGAAACTGAGATAAATGCCAACCTCTGTAAACCTTTAGACTAGAGGCTGCATTTCTGTTATGTTTCAGCACATTTGCAGAAGCCGTCAGAAGCCAGCAAGGTATAAACAAACACAACAATTTAATGCCAAGTGCCTGCAATTAAAGACAAAACTTCCCTTCTGCTCCAGTTACTTGCTTTGCCAGACCTTTTACCAAACCACAGAAGACATCATTTCATCTATTTATTTCTAAGGTTAGGCAAGAACAATTTCAGTGCATTTTTATAAGCCACAGAGAAGTGCACAAGCTCGTTTCCCCCTCTTAGGTCACCTTTATCATGAGAGTTTTATTCTAATTAAATATAAATGTGCTTTCAAGTCAACAGTGTTACTGAGGTCCATCAAAGCTTCTGAATTACAGACCTTTATTTTACCCTGTTTTAGTTTTATTTGCAAAGAAGCTAAAAATGCTGAGCTCCCTCTGCATGAGGGCTCTCAAGGACCTCTCTGTCAGCCTTGCTATCAGAGCGGTATACTTGCAGTACACATCTGGAACACGAACACTGAACCTTTTTCCACAGTACAGAAGTTTTTGATTTTTCAGGTTCCTCATTTTTCCTTCAGCATCTGTCAGCTTTATGAGTTTCTCTTATTCTTCTACCCCACAGTAAAAACAGAAGAATGCCTGTTGGGGAAAGGCATTTTACCCCACACCGCACTGGCTTTTTATTTACTGGTAGCTGACATTCTCCATCAAGTCAGATCCTGTACTAGCAAGAACTTGATATTCTGCCCTACTCCACAGCAGGCTCAGGTGTCTACCTTGGTTTTCAAAACTTTTTGTCAGTAGATACAGTGTTTAAATCTCTGAAACAGCCAGAACTCTAACAGTTGTAATTACTACTTCACCTATGCATATACTAGGTAGCAAACCCCAGCTTCATTTAAAACAAAAACAGTTTCACACAGGTAACCAAAGGCAATATTGTCCCCCCTCCAAACATAGCAAACCTTCCTACTTGGAACCTCTTCACCTCTTGCAGCGGGATCTGTGGTGTTTGTGTGCATGTATAGATAGCACTTTCCATGCAATGCAACATAGTGATTACTACAGCAGTCCTAGACAAGTAAGACAAAGGCTTTAATCAGCCAGTTTTTCTAGCACAATATCCAGAAATTAAAGCAATTCAGGAACAAATTACATAGTCTTTGCATTAACAAAAAATACCTTTTTTCTTTTTTTTTCCTCCTACTGGTAGCGCTAACCAGCTATCTAGATGAAATATTTTGAAACACCACAATTTAAAAACCACCAAACCACTGCACAACAGCTTTGAGTTTTGGGCTGCTGGTCTCTAGGAAAGGTTTTGGTTAATGAACCCATTATCCACTGCAGGCAGCAGGTTAGGACCATGCCTGTCACCTGTGCTCCCCACTCATGAATTCCAGGGTGGATGAGCCAAGCACTCACGCGGTTCACACACCAGTCTGGAAGCTACCCAGGGCAGCTGGCCCACTAGCCGTGTTTCGATCTTTTCATGCCAAAATAAACTATTTGTCTGATCTTTGAGGCTTATTTCCTGGAATTATATGGAGTCTTGGAGAGGGTTAGAGGAACAATATCTTTGAAAGATGATGTGGCTTTCAGCTCCAGAATTACTTTCTCTGAAATATGCTTCAGTTCACTAGGCACAGCATACCACAGCTTGATTGCTAACAGTAACTGCTATGCTGTGAATTTAACCATCAGCAATAAAATAAGCATAATCAACTACCTAATTTACTCTGCACCTACAGTACTAAAGGCATTAACTTAACTTAGACCTTACAGTTATGCCTGATCACGTACCCATTTTTTATAGTCATCCAAGATGAGGCATAAAGAAATGCAGATTTCAACAACAAGCACGCACTTGCTGTCTAAAGAGGTATCTTTTGTTCAGATCTAAAAAGATATTTAAAGTGTTTACATTAATGTATTAGGAAAGGCTGGACAGCACTGCAAAAGTCTATAGGGAGCTTTGTTTATTTAAAGTTATGGTTTTTAACTCAAATATTTTTACCTGCTCAATGTGGGTTGTACACTAGTATAAAGGAGACTAAGACACATCCTCCTCTCCCATTTTCATCTCCTGCACCTCATTCCTAATCCAACCCCCAGCCCATTTTCTACTAAAACAACCTTTTATGTAACAATCCACCAAAAGGAAATGAGAGGCTAATTCAGGTTAAAAACAACTCATTTTGGGAAAAGAGTTTTATTTATTGCTAGTAGCAACAATAACATTTGCTGACCCACCTGCTGAGAAGCAGGGAGATTTCTTATACCTGTACAAGCAGCAAGTAGAAAGTACATGGCACTACACTCTTAGTCCATTTGACAGGAAAAGAAAATACTACCTTGAGCCCTTCTTTAAAATAGCCTGTTTTTCTCTTCACTCAATCAGGGCAGAAGGATTTCCCTGTTCAGCCATTATAAATCAGGTGGGACTGGGGTGATACCAGGTAAGGGCAAGTAGCTGAGAGGTGTTAACACCATCAACTACTACACCAGTTTCAGAGGCAAAGCTACTACACAAAAGCAATTCAGGTCTGAATTCACACTTACGTTTGTGTTCTCTTTCTGCAGATTTACATCTGCAGATGACTGTGGATGTAACCTATGGGTACTACTATTTCTGGACAAAAATGCATCCAACCATATCTTGAATATTTTTATCACACTTACATTTTCACAAGAAAAGATATTGCAGAATCACCTGCCACATCTTGATGCCTCCAATTTAAAACACCGTGTTGTATGTTGTGCATGTGTTGTGTGTTATAAATTTTGTGCTGTACTTGTAAGCCACAGATAAATATATACAGATATTATGACACAGTATTATTAACACATCAAAAAATAGCTCAAGAAGTGCAAGATCCATGACCTTGGTTTCTCAAAAAATCACTGAAGATCACAAGAGATGCTTAGTGAAAATACTCCTGAAGACCTGAATGGTTTTGGGAACCTGCTAAAAAACTTAAGGCAACTCCACCTCTGTTTTACTCTAGAAATACATTCAATTTGCTGCAGATTAGCTTCTCTATACATGAAGATATCAGAGAGTTAACCCCGTATAGAGTCAAGTCTGGCCAAGTAGGTTTTGTTAGATCCCATGGAGTGCTCGGAAAACACAGCTCCCTTGCTTCCTCTCCAGCTCAGCAATGCAGACACCACCTCCTGAAGCATCTGTGCAAGCAAACGCTGACAGAGCTGAGATGACCACATATTTCAGTGCCTTTGCATTGTAACAGTAGCATTTGCTATAAATGCTTTTACTGTCAGAGACTTTCAATTATCCATTTACCTTTCCTCTTCTACTGCCCCAATCACAAAGATTTCCTTTACAGCCATACAAATGTCTAGACAGGAAAGGACACCTTTGGGCATGAAGCTGTCCTTTTGCTCCAGCATAAAGAAAAACACCTGGATGGGCAGGCAAAACACTGGTATAAGGAAAAGATGATATATGAGATACTGAGCCATAAAAAAAATAATAGGGAACTTACCAACTTATTGTCTTAAATGTAACTGAAATAAAGACATCAGCTTCTTTCCTGAAGTGCCAGCCCAGAGAAAATGGTGATTTTTGCAAGAAAGAGACCCAAGTTCAGATTCACATGATTTTACCACAAAACACTGACTTTATCAGCTAGGTTATTAGATGTGATGTGATGAGCTAGAGGAAAGGAAGCTTGACTGTAATTGCATTGTGCTTATACACAGATTCTCCATCACTATCTTTGCTTCCCCATGTTAATAAGACAGCAATGACAATTCAAGTACTTCAATAAATGATAAAAGGGAGCAGTGTTACAAAACCCCCTCTAAAGTTCAGCCTGACTCACCTGACTTCCTTGCTTTCAGGGCAATGACAGCAGCCAGTTCTCTCTGTACCTGAAACATCAGGAAAAGAAAGGATGGTTATAGTCCCTAGCACAGTCAAGCAAAACAAAGTTCAACACTGGCAAAATACCAGCTATCAATTCTTTGGAGCAGTCAGCTGCATGTGGAATTATGCAAGTATCTGGTTTTGAAACTACAGTCAGTTTTCCTAGCAAATCTATTTCCTTTTCAGCTGGGCATTCTGTGACAACTTTTTCGTTTTTAATTTAATTTAATGTAAATACCACACATTCCTTAGGGAGCGGGCAATTCAGTAGCCCGACCTGTAATTTATTTGCACAGCGTATCTGTTTCACAAGTACACACTTGAAGTTTCTCCCTTTCCTTGTTACATATTTGGTTTGCCTCTGATGAGCACACTGTAATGCTGATTTAACGTGTGACTCCAGGATAAGCAAGTTCTCCATGTTGAGGTTTTTCTGAGGTTCACGTATATAATTGATATTAACTTTTTGGATCTTTCAGGAGGAAACAACCTCTCCTAATAGCATGGCTGATTGTTTCAGGACCAAAATTTCACTTGAGATGAACATGCAGAAGTCAGAGGTATCTGATTTTCAGTTTTACAGGCTATCTCACTGGTCTGGTCTGTGATGACAGAGCCCTGCCACGCTAGCCAGCTCCATTCCTCGCCCTCTTGTCTCTGCATTCTTCATATTTTCCCTATACTGTCTACAAGGCCAGCTACTGCCTCTTTAGCCAGCTTGACTCTACATCCACTTTTCTGCATAGGTCTATTCCTTCTTACATAAGTTCTTTTTCTATCATTTTCCTATGCATTTATTCTTATGCTTCAGATTTCTTCACCATCATCTGTCCCACTGCTTGCACGTGGCCTACAGCACCCCAGACACTTCCTCCTGCATACATCTCAGCTCCTTCCCTCCTCTGCCTCATCCACACTCTCAGATCCTTTGAACACCTCTCATCTTCTTCCAGTTTCCCAAATTTTCCTAAGGCAGCCTGCCTCTAGTATCATAAATAAATAAATAAATAAATGGGACATTTCAACTGTTTTTTGTAGGGATTGTCTGACCCCTCTGTACAAAGTCTCCAACAGCACATACTAGCCATCTTGTCTAACAGACCTATGCAAAGCTCAAGGCTATTCTACAGTGGGAGTTTTCACATCCAGCTTCTGAAAGCATGTAAAATTTCAAACATCATTCACAAGACGTGGTTTGATCAGAATGAGGCACAAAGCTCACAAAGGATTCCCCAAGTAATACAATTACTACTAACTGTCAACATCCCACTCTTATGACTCTGAAGAAAAGTTTGAAAATGTGAAAGAAGAATAGTTAATATTATATTGGTCTGTGCAGAAAGACGGACAAAAACACTCAGGGCATCTCAGTACAATAACTCCAACACCCACTGATCAGATACTCAGCAGCCACCCAGCAGTACGCTCTACATGTGTCAGAAGGCAGTCATACCAGAGGCCACATCCTCTGCTTGCATCCTTCCTTCCCTTGTGGCAAAGGACCAAGGAGATGGTCCTTGCAAGGTACAGGATCTTTTCTATTCCTTGATGTTGCCCTACTGAGAGGGACAAGAGTTTTCTGCCACTCCAAGCAGGAAAATATGAAGGCAGTGCCCCGGTTTTCTTAAATGTCATCCTGTTTCCAGCACAATTGTGCAAGATGGTAGTATTACCATCCCTTCCTTCCTTCCTGTACACCCATTCCCATGTCTGGAGAAACGTTATTCATGGCTAATGTAAGCATGAACTGAAAGTAAAATGGGAATGAACAGTTCTTCCATGGAAAAACAACTTGTGTGCTTGCTTGCAGCAATTACTATACGCTAGTAATAATACATACAAGCTATCCAGAGTGAGAGGGGGATTTTCAATAAAAGCTGAAGTTGTTTCTGAATAGCACCAGCACAACTTTTCATGACTACACTGCTCAGAGCTTCTCTCCTCATTAAGCTCAGCAGGAGATACCAATGTTGATGCTTCGATTCTGGTCTATTCTCACTGGTTACTGACAGTAAGAAACAGTGCACTGATGTCTCATATTTATCTTTTAGCATTTAATAAATACATTATCCCAAGATTAGCCTTAGAAGACACTACAACCTGCAACAATTGTAAACATATCACTTAACCCAATTAAACAATTGAAAAATGCAAATCTCTCCGTGAGTGTGAAGAAAAACCCATCTGCTCAGAAGAAAAGGCAGCATTGTGGCATCCTGCAGTTATATTTGCAGTATTACTTTTGCATATAAGGTGGCACTTGTCAAGTTTGAAAGACAGTGTTAAAATCACAAAAGGCTGTTTTTCTATATTTTGTCTATATTAAACAAAATATCCCATTGCTTGCTGTGTGCCAGGAATGCAGCGGGAATATTACTTAACTTGAGCAAAATCCTTCAGCAGGAGAAAATATATTTCTCTAGTGTTACTATTAAGCAAAAGTTTCTTCATCAAAGGGTTCCATCCTGACAACTTGATGCTCTCTCTCACAGGATTCACTCCAATCACAAAGAATTGGTACTGCTGAGCATCCTTCTGGATTTGACTGGTGTCCCTAGATTTCATAATCAACAGGTTTTTGTCTATTTTAGCGTAAATGCACTTGACATCTCTGCTGGACATGCAGTTCCTATGCATCATCACACCAATGGAAATCCCTGCACAACATTCATTCCTCACTGCACAGATGCTACACATTATCATACTTCTTCCTAACAGGATTTCAGTTACTGCCTGTTTGAAAAGATCAATAGTTGCACATTACATTGAAGACAATAATGCAGACTCAAAGTAAAATATATGTTCAAATAAGAACCACACCTACCATATTGCGATATTAAATTAAAAAAAAATTGGTTTATACATACAGCTTGTATGTATACAAAGCTACCACTATTTAAATACTATCCCATTTTGAGTAGCATTGCAGATGTCAAAACTGATTCAGTTTAAGGGTCAGCTTAGCACACAGTATTTACATAAATATTATGAAAATCTGAAAGAGAACATTTTGAGTGTGTTGTTGGTATGTTATCACATCTCAATCAGGTTTTTTTTTGCAATCTGAACAGAAAGAGTGTGCATACAGAGTGGTACCCAGGTACACTTCTGTGTGATTAAATACAAAAGGTATATTTACGTGGGGAGTCTTGTCTTCAAAGAATAGAGGTAGAGATTTTTGAAAAGTAAATCACAACTAATGCTCTTCTCTTATCCACGAATCTGGTCATTTATCATAGAAAGCATAGCTGTTCATCTAGCAGACAGTGCATACCACCTTTACTTTTTTCCCTTCTCTTTTTTCTGCCCTTAATAGTCCTTAGTGAAACAGTATTCCAGATATCAATGTGCCAAACAGGACCTCAGATCTCGAGACAAAGTGCCAAACCTCACAGAATTTCAAAATTAAATCCTGCAACAGAAGTCTCTAAACAGCAGGGTTTTGAAAAATGAGAAGAGTATAGTTCATATTTTTGCATCTCAAATTACAATAGTTTGATGTGCTCTAAATAAAAGTAGTATTGGCTGATGCCTTAAAGTACCAGAAAACCATTTTCAAGATACACTTCATTAAAATCCTGACACTCTTTTCTGTTTTATCACAAGGTAAGGTAAAAGCTTTGCAGCGGAAACACTCATAGTTATCCCTCCGTGCTCTGGTTTTAGCAGATAAAACATTGAATATGAAGCTGCTCTTCGGGACATGACAGGGGATACATGACAGCTCTGGAATGCTTTTTTAAACCTGTGAGTAATCATTGCATTTTCTTAAAAATTCATGACCAAAGAGATTATGTGATGCAAATGTATTTCCAAGGGCACTTTGCACTGCATGCATGTCAGCTGCCTTTAAAATTTAAGTTTGATGGTGTTGTCGATGCCTCATTGTAATGAAGCATATGCTATCAGCATACAATTTGATAGGTTAAAAGAGTGATTTATATTTTAGGCACACAGATTCCTCCAGTGTTGCTTGGGCTGGATCTTCACAATCCATTTAGGTTTGAAAATTTGGGACTTCAATCCCCTGAAAAGAAAAGCTGACAGAGAAACTTTCTTGTGACATGAGAAGAATGTTTTATTCCAAGAAAACCAAAACAAAAAACAGAAGAGACGGCAGTGGGATTTGTACCTCTAAACCTCCAAAGTCAACTGTAATCTTGGACTGCTTTAGTGTTGTCTGGAAGTAGGGGTTTGGGGTTTTTTTTCCACTTCTGAAATACTGGTGTGGAGGGTATCATGAACAGGATTCTGAATCACGAATTCTTCAAGGAAGACTGTTTTGATGGTGTACAAAATACATAAACATTCAGTAAGCCAAAAAGCCATAGTGAACACATTTCCAGCCATGGCTAATGCCTTCACTTTTTGTTTCCAGATCCTGCTTACAGAACCCTTTTTTCCCATATAAATTCTGAAGTTGTCTGTAAAGAAAAAAAAAAGTGAACCTTTATACTGCGGAGTTCAACACTGTTGAATGGTGTAAGCTGAGGGTTCAAATTTCCTTAGATGTAAAAAGGTTCTCCATAAAGTTGCAGTGAGTGCCTTAGATCCATATCTACTCTATGGAGGAAAAGCAATATTCTAGAGGGATGAAATGGAAAAGTTCATATACAGATGTTAACGTTTGGAGGATTCTGCTCTGGTCTTGTGCCTTCTCTCCAGGGTGGACTAGAAAATCATTACAGAGAGCCCTCAAAGTTCTGTGGAAAATCAGAAAATGCAGGAGAAAAGATCAGACTTCTTGAAATCACCATGGCAATAGATGGGCTCAGGCCATCTGGAGTTGCAACTGCCTAATTTTTCTTTAGCTAGTTAGCTACAGTAATAAAATGGTTCATTTAAAAAAAAACCCTGTCCATGTGCTCTACTGCTGGAATAATTCAGCATGTAGTTCAAAGGTTTGACCTTGCAAGTTAGATGTGAAACACTCTGAATTCACTGTCAATTAGGTGTTTGAGGATATGCATGGTACTCAAGTGTATCCAGCAGCAGTTAGATCTAGTTCTTAAACTCAGAAAGTCACTTTGTTTTGTTCAGTGTTTCTCTTTTTCTTAACTGAAAAAATCTCCATTATTCTATTTTTGAGAGGTAAAGCTTCTGAGGGATACTGGCAGTGTTTTATAGAGTTGGTAGATTTTGAGTTTTTCAAAAGATATAACTTTGCAGAAAGTATTTAGTGTTTTTCTATTTTTTATTTCTTTGGAACTAAAAATGGGGGATATTGAGGTTTTGAGTTCACCTTTCATTTTCAGTTAAGAACAAAAGGTAAAGAAAACAAGGAGCTTGAATACAGAGAAAATTTGAAAAATATAAAAAAATTAAAACACAGCCTTTTCTCATGTCATACATTTTAAATTATTTTTGAGTAAGGTTGAGCACACAGAATCATTGGCTTTTCAAACACATTACAAAATGTCTTTTGTGAAGACATTTGTCTTTAAAAAATATAAGATAAATTCTCCCTCCCTTCCATTTTTCAGCAATTGCAAGATAGTACTTCACTTACTTTTCTTAAAATAGCTCTTGTCCTCATGCCTTTTTCATAACAACGGCTTCTTTCACTTTCATTTCTGTACTTTCTCACATACCCAAAACAGAACTAACACTAATTCCATGATTTATGTGTGACATTCACAGAACCATACAATCACAGAATGGTTGAGGTAGGAAAGCACCTCTGGAGATCATCTGACTCAAACCACTGCTCAAAGCAGGGTCAGCCAGAGCAAGTTGCTCAGAACTGTGTCCATTTGAGTTCTCAACATCTCCAAGGATCAAGGATGGAGAGGAGACTCCACTACCACTCTCCTGTAATCTGTTCTACTGTTTGATCACCCTCACAGTAAGTAAGTTTTTTGCTTATGTTTAAGTAGAATTTCTTTTAGTTTGTGCCACTCCTGTCACAAGATGTCACTGAGAAGAGCCTGGTTCCATCTTCTTCATTCCCTTCCATCAGGTATTTGTACACATCGTTCCATGGTTCCATGGCCTTCTGTTCTCCAAGCTCCACTCCCAGTTCTCTCAGACTCTCCCTGTAAGTCAGATACTCTAATCCCCTGATCATCTTCATCGTTATTTGCATACACTCCAGTACATCCATCTTTTGTACCTGGAGTTCAGAACTGGACCCAACACTCCACATGTGGCACACCAGTGCAGAGTAGAGGAGAACAATCATCTCCCTTAGCTTAAGGATAACACTCTTACTAACACAGCCCAGGAGGCACTTGCTTCCTCTGCCACAAGGGCACATTTCTGGTTCAATCTGCTGTCCACCAGGACCCTCACTCCTTTTCTGCAAAGCTGCTTTGAGCAGCTTGTATAGAAGCCTGAGGTTATTTCTCCCAGATTCAGGATATGGCATTGCCCTTTGTTGATCTTCCTGAGAATCCTGTTGGCCCATCTCTCCAGACTGTCAAAGGTCCCTCTAAATGGCAGCACAACAACAGAATTATTTAGGTTTGAAAAGACCTGTAAGATCATAGAGTCCAACCGTTAACCCAGCACTGCCAAGTCCACCATTAAACTATGTCCTTAAGTGCCCCATCTACACATCTTTGAAAGGCCTCTGGGGATGGCGATCCAACTATTCCTCTCAGTTTTGCATCACCTGCAAACCTGCTGAGAGTACACTGAAATTATACAGATTTTCTTAAATTGAGTGAATTTAGCCTAACTTTCTGAAGTCCTGTCTGTCTGCATCTTAGAACAATGATCTTACAAAAAGATAAACAAGATGTACAAACTTCTAGCAGAGACAGGATAAGCTGTTGTTTATTATGGTGAAGTTTACTGAGGCTAAACATAGTCGGAAAGCCAGATACTCAGTTTTTCCAGGTGGGTCTCCTCATAATTTTATGATAATCTACACCAGGATTGCTGAAACCTTCTCTCTCCCTTTGCCTCCCGTCCCATCATTGCCTTCACATTGACATTCAGTTGACCAAGAGGGTCTGAGTGTAAAGCACATGGCACAAAAATTACCATGATCCTCCAAACTGGTATGTCCTGGGCTATGAAAAGCATGTATTCAAAGAGAGAAGGCTGCAGCAGTCCTTGCTTGGATTGATTTTAATAGCTTTGGAATTGCACACTAAGGCCTCAGTAAAACTTTCCCCTTCCACAGACTAAAAAAAGTAGTCTGCATAGACAAACATCCATTCACTAAGTCTTTAATTTGAAGGGATCAAAAACATAACAATATTTCAAACATGATCAGTACAAACTTTGATGCAATGACCTTACCGCAGAAGTGAGACGAGCAAGAATTTCAGCGTTGGTTTCTGCCGTATCTTCTATTTTTTGATCAGGCCTTAAAAAATAAAAATAAGATTTTTATCATTTCTTTCATTCTGTTTCAACATCTTTTGATTCCTGGAAAGTAAGGAACTATGCAGCCACAGGCACTAATGTAAAAGGGCCTTTGAGATTCCACATCAAAATGATGACTGCAACATGACAATAATTAATCGTGTCACTAACGACAGAGTACACTCTTTGTCCCTTGCTGTCAAGAACTCTTTTGATCAGACCAACATAAAGCAGTGAGAGAATTCTTCAGCTACAAAAATATGATGAAGAACTGAAGAATGCAGGACCCTCTAGATCAGAGTTTTTTATGAGACTGCATATTTCGCTTTGCTAAAAACATACTCTATCAACGGAGCAAAGTTTTCCATCTGCCCACCACCCAGCTTTGCTAAGATGTAGAGCAGCACCTAAGGAATGTAAGCTCATGTAGATGAAAACAGACAACATCAAAATAACTAAATGACATGTACAGTTTGATATTTAGAAAGAATAACTGAAAGTGAAAATAATACATTTAAGAAGATATAAATTAACAAACTAAAGCAACAGTTGAGAACATTATTAGGATGTCCTGACAGTTACTCACAAGAGAGAGAGACTTCACATGTCTTTGTAAAAGAGAGGCAGTGCAGGAAGAACCCTGCCAGAAACTGTCCCAGAAGTCTGACTCACATGGACAGTCTGGCCACACAAAAGCTGCTATGGGCAGTACAGGATAGGACTGTGTTTTTCTTTAAAAGAGTCTAATTCCCATAACCAAAACATCTGTGTTTTAGCTTCTTATAGAAGCTTTATTGAAAATTGGGAGAAAGATACCAATATAGGTGTGTATATATAGGTTATTACTATAGAAGGAAGAAAAGAAAATGCCCTTGAGATCTTTATTTTTCATGGTATTCAAGAAGCAGTGGCATGTCAGCAAGCTGAGCAGATACACAAAACTGCAGCTGCTGTAATAAACATAAATCCCAGGTATTAGAAGAAGCTTCTGTCTTTGACTAAATTATTTAATTGCTTATGTGCCTTGATGTTCTCAGGGAGAGAGCTGGCAACACATCTGGAATACTCAGCTGGTATATTGTGGTTTTTACACCCCATGTCCAAAAATTCCATTCCTTGATTAAAAAATTAAGGTCAGAAAGCACAGAATGACACATGCATTCATTTTGGGGCAAGCGTATTCAGACTAAAATGGTAATTCAGATTAGAAATCACAATTATTTTCACAACTGCTTTTCTATTCAAAGAAAAAATGTGATTTAATATTTTAAGTGTTATAAACAGCCTGAAAGAAATAAATGAATGTATTTTCATTTACAACGACTGATTTATTCAGGCTTTCTCCTTATAATTTGGAATAAGATTAAAACAGCTGATCTCTTTAGATGCCTAAGTTTCTCTACACATCTGACCTCTTCTGATCTCCCAGAACCAGACTAGGACCTGATTCTTCTACACTGGAGGCAGAAGATAGCAATTCAGTAGACACAGACACAGATGCAATCTATAAACCCACAACAGCACATAGCCCAGCTATTTCCATCTTGGACCTTTATCACTTCATCTTCTATTTAAAAATACTCCCAGTATTCATCTGCATATGAGTATCAAATACTTCTGAAATCATTAATATACTAAAAATTAGTACGAGCTCTACAGAATCAGAGGGGAAGAGTGTATTATGACACCCAAGTCAGTGGAAAAAAGCAACATTTATCATTCTAATTTTTTCAAAAGTAGACAGCCAGGACCTAGTAGGGCTGGTACCAAACAGGAGCTCAAAGCCCAGGCAAACTAGCCTAATGCTTATACAGTTCAGTGGCCTGTGAGCTCAGTCTGCTAAGCAGACAGAGATGTGGAGATGCTTGCCCTAGATTTGCACGCACACAAATCAGTCTCCATGCAATACCTGAGAGCTGTTTGTGTTCAGCAAAAGCTTTCCAGGAACTCCATAAGGCAGTAACTAAACAAATATCTCATCCTGTCTATTTGCATTAAAACCAAATTACTTTTAAAAATGATTACTTTTCTGAAATGAATAAAATGTGAATTCTTTCACTGAGTCTCATCAGTGGTTTTGGGAATTAGGTGTTGTTACAGACACCCCCATTTACAAGGAAGGAAAAAGAAGCACACAAGGATTAAACACCTGGTACAACACCATTGCAGTAACTGGAAAAGAATTTAGGATGCATCGGAGGGAAGTCCATGGCACAGCTTTCATTACAGATTTTTTTGTTCCTAGATTATTGCAATATTCACTTCTTTTCTACTCAAGTAGAATTGACTGTGATTAACATCAAGTGTTTAATGACTCCGAGAGGCCTCTGCATCAGTCCCATCTCATCTGATTTTACAAGATCTCAGGGTCTTAGTCCTATGGACTACAACAACATTAGCCTTCAGATTAGTGTGAGATGCTGAAAATCTGCTATGTCCCAATTTTTTTCCATGGTGGATTCCCCCCAATGTAGGGAATTTGCCACAGTCAAAAGGCAATAGGGAGCATTTATTCAGGAACCATAAGTACATCTCAGACTTCAGAATGGTGTTTTCATTGCAAAGCTTACTACTATATTATTTGGTAACACCCCTAAAACTGACCAGAAACAAATATAAATCCATCAAGAATCCGTACAGCAAGTCAAATCTGAGCCATGTTTATTTAATGGCGTTTCCAGAATAGCTGCTAAAGGAAGTCCCCAGAGTTGCTACTGCCTACTCATGTGTACAGACTCCTTCTGGGAGAGCAGTACCATGGTTCTGCTCAGAGATCCACTGAGGTACCCAGTAGTCCAGGCAAGGCAAGGCTGCTGCCCACCAGCTGCAGAGGAGACAGAGATCATCTAGCCTCTGGGACCACCAGGAGACATCCAGTGTTGCCTTCTGGTGTACAACCAAGCAGTAACTTCTGATTTCTTCAAAAGCAGGGAATCCAATTAATAAGGTAAGAATTTCTCTATCCCTATGTACATGCAGAATGCCATCAATACAAATTAGGAGAAAAGCTAGGACAGAAAAATGAGAATAAAAATACCAAATTACAAAAAATCCTATGCTTCTAATGGTATGCAAAATGGCTTATATATTTGAGAAAAGACAAGCACTCACTGCAGGAAGGAGTTTTTAGAATCGCTGTCTTTCTTCATGAAAATAAGTATATGGGTTTATTTAACCTGGTCAAAAAACTCAACAAACACCTCATCACACCTATTCCTTTTCAGACTGTGTTTTAGTAGTGTATTATTTGCATCAAGCATGAAGAATTTTGAACCTGGAAAACCCTCCTTCCCCTTTAATATCAGACTCCTTCAAGACTATACTGTTATTTAAAATTCAATTCCTTCAATATATGCTTTTTTAAAAAGCACCTTCACAATCTGACAGGTAAAACCTCCAGAAAACAATTCTTCTGTGAAAATATTCCCAAAAGGAATTCAGCTTCAAGTAAAATTTGAATAATGGGAGCAGGAAGGAGCTGGAATAGTACATTAATGAATAATTGTTCAATTCATGTGACAGGGATCATCCTCCACTGGAAATGACAGTGGTACTGAAATGATAAAACTGCGAAGCAGACTGTAAACTCAAACCCAAAAAGTCTTCAATCCATTTTCCTACCCAGCATCCTTCAGGTAACACATCAATATGACCTATCTGGTCTGTCTTTTTGATTTGAAGCCTTTGTACAAGTAGTCATGAACCATGAAAAGTGGCCTGACTTGCATTGATAATGAGGAAAACTCCAATTCCCATTGAAATGAAGATGAAATTTCCCTGATATTTAAGGGATAGACAAACTGTTTAGCAACAGAGTCAGCTGGAAGACAAGAATTTCTATTTGCAAAAATAGTCAAAGGTTTTCTCCTATATGAATCTTCTGCTTAGAAGATTACACTCAGTCCCCTGTTCTAGCCAACTTGGGGTCCTTGTCACTTGTCTACACTCACTCAAGCTGACAAAATTAAGGCATTTTAAAGTATAAATATTGGGTTTGAGGATTCATCATGCTAGGGACAATGAAAGAATTTAACCCAGCTTGTCTATCCAGGCCTACTCCTGCAGATTTGCTCAGGCATGAAGGGTCATGAGCCTCCAGAGTTCTCACTAACACCCTTTTTCCTATCTTTTGGCCTTATCCTGTGACACAAATAGCTATGATTTCCTTCTATCTCCTCTAAATAGCCAACATCTCCTCTAAAGAGCACAGTCATATCACCACAGAGCATATGATAACATCCAATAGTTACGTGAAAGAGGACACATATGGGCAGCAAAAATCTTAAAAGGCATATTCTGAAAAAGGAATAATAATGTGATACTACAGAGCTCTGGCAAACATGCAGTAGAAAACTAAAACGAGAAGACTGAAGCTACTGCATTTCCACCCATCTACTCTACCTTTCTGAAAGCCGATCCTGACACATCACAGGGGCATCTGATCTGCAACCCTGCTGCCAAAATCACACCAAAGCTCCAAATGTAAGAGGAGACAAAAAAATCACGTGCCTAAATAATACAGCAAGCTAGAGGCAGTAAGCCAGTGCTTAAGAACTACAATATGCCAAAAACCCCAAGCCAAGTGCCTTCATTTATTTATCCAGACTAATCTTCTCAGATGAAAAGCACATCTCTACAAAACTTGGGGTTGATTTTAAAGATTTTAAAGGTTTTAAAGCTGGCTTATTTGCAAGGTGATTTCGGAATAAACAGTGTCATTATAAGGCCAGACACTTATAAAATAGTCAGCAAAAGTTGTAAACAGCTGCATATGCACACTTACAGATTACACATGTCAATCCTGGGGGGAGACAATGGCAGTAGTTGAAGTAGGAGCTTTACTCCATTTTTCCATTCCTCCTCTTTCTCAAATTCACAGAAAAGATAGGTACATTCATCCGCTGAGAACTGGTAGAAAGCATGAGTGTCTTGAAAATAGAGTTGTCTGTCCACTGTTAGAAAAGATAACATTAGATACTGTTTAAACCTTCACCATGTAAAGATTCCATGTCCCCACCACATTCTGCATTGCACTTGACTTTAATGCTGAGTTGCACCACCATACGGGTCAAAAGCACCAAAACTTCAGCATAGGAACAATCCTGCCCTCTCATATTAACTCAGTACATCCAAACAGAAAACCTCCAAAACCTCAATCTGAAGATCTTCAAGCTCCTGAAATTTGCGTATTAAGACTGCTGACTATTTAATCAATTTTAGAATCAGTTCAGGATTAGGGGATAAAAACCTTCCTCTTATTAGACTTCTGAGTCTTGATTTCCATTGGTTTCTAAACTGTTGTCACTAATGGTCAGGCAGGAGTAAACAAAGCTCAATAATGAGGATCATTATACAAGCTTCGTATTCAGGGCTACTGAATTTGTAGACTAGACCTGGGTAAGATGATGTGCCAGTCATCTTCCCTGAAAAAAATGGGATTGAACTGGGAACCAAGGACAGAGTCCAAAGCCAAAAGCATAAGTTCCTGCATAAATGAATCATTCAGCCTTTGTTGAGGGTGCATGACCAGAAATATCGTCAGTGTAATTGAAGAAAACCTGTAAGTACACTGTCAGTGTACATAGGCAGAAATCTTCTATAACACCTCACCTTTTCACAAGAAAGAAGTTAACGTCTAGCACAGACCCCAGGGTGGGGTATGATCTGAGTTGAGCTACCTAAGTAGTCCCAGCCTCAAAATAATCATCAGATTTCCAGAGGTTGGTTACCAGTGTAGTTATCACCAACCACATTAGCTGGACCAATCAGTTTGGTGGGGAAGGTGGGAACAGCAGGGTAGAACCTGGCCTCACCAGCATCTCAAGGATCTGGATCCTCTCTCAACCTATCGCAATCTAAAATTATGGAAAACAGGAAAAAAAAAAACGGCTGAAAAAGACACACACACAGTCTGCAACTTGGTAATAGGTAACTAAATCAGTAAAAGCAAAAGTAAGGAAATTGCTGAAAAGTAGGGATTCATCTCTGGTACTTATGAAATGAAAGGTCACAGAGGTAAGCCTGCCAAAAAGATAGTAAAATAAAGAACTGGCAAGAAAATTGGATCAATCTGTGCTTTTACTCTTTTCCTCCTCCTATCAAAAACATGAGTCTTGTCCTATGCAAGAGAAATGCATAGCCTTCCTCATGCTAGGATTACTGTCAAGACTGACCTGATAATATAATGCCCATATCCAGAAGGAGCTGCCACACTCCAACTGCTGTAGATCTGCTCTTAACAAAAGGGCATTGCTCCAAAAGCCAGTCTACCAGTTCTGATCCAACACAGCTTCTCCTGAAAATAAGCAAAACATCACTTCTTACACTACAGTAATGTTAAAATGTTCTTTTATGATAAAGAGCTACTTTTTAAAGCTATTGAAAGTGAACCTTTTTGTTCAGCAGAGCAAACCCTTTGTCTCAATTGCTAATTTTTGTAATCGAACTCATTTCAAGGGAAGAAATTACTCTGGCAAGTCTCAGGGGATACCCCTAGCTACAATGAGGGAACTCATGTCAGATGAGCAAGTTCCCTAACTCACGTAGCACACTTTGCAATATGTAATATTTTTATCAGTTTGTGCTGCATATGGTCATCCAAAGATGCATAAGAGCTAAACAAAATACAACTTTTAGCCTCAGGATTTTATTTCTTTTCTGAGCATAAGCAATACAGCTACACAATACATGTAAGACCTTGAGTGCTGCTATAGGATGTACTTAATCTTTCACATTATTAGTAAACGTAGATATTTAAATAATTTTTTTTAAAAGTAGTGTATTTTTCTTAAATGCAGTTATGTATGAACAGTGCTATAATAGAGAGATGCACATTTTGGTATAACTGAAAAAAGGAGGAAGCATTTATGCTGTAATGCAACACAAATGGAAAATCACTTCATTACAAAAATATTCCATAAATTACATGCCAAAATCACTGTGTCACTAAATCTTAGGAATCCAGTTAATCTCTTTGATAACTCTAGACCAGGGCTGAATTTAATAGTCTTTCTTTTCAACAAAATAACTGACAAACGCTATTGTATATGAAATCATAAGCAATTTAATTAATGCATAATTAATTCAATTAATTAATTGATTTCTGACAGCTAACACTGTAACATAAGAAAAGATATTAAGACACATGAGATTTTAAAGATTTTTTTTAGAGAAAATGTTTTTAATTCTTTGTAAGATACTCGAAATCTCACACTCAGAGAAGAATTTACTCTCTTGTCAAATCAGGTCATAGATAAATGCAAATAAAACCCATAAAGTTGATTAAAAGAAATGATTTTGAGTTACCTGCAAATGCCAGTAAGGTACACCCTGTCTTTAATCAGGTCAGATGCTTGTAGGGTAAAAATATTCCTGAGAGCTCTCCCAGCACAGGAAGAACTTTCTCCATAAATCTGAATGAAAAGAGAAATTGAAAACTGAATCTATTATAGCTACAGATCAGTTCATCCATGCATTGCCAGGAGGATGTGGTCTTTCAGAATGGACACGCTTTTTACTTCCTCACACCTGATGTCTACCTTACACCTCAAGGTTGCACATGTGCCTATCAAAACAGGACCCAACTTGATCTTCTATAAAACTGTGTTCCACCTGTACTCTGTATACCACTCCTTACTGATGAATTTACCTTGGGCTTTTATTGTGATGTTTCCTCACATTCCAACAAACACATTAGTAACACAAATAACTAAACTGAAAGGAAAACAATGTTATCTGGTTTCTTTTTTTGTTTGTTTGTTTCCCATGTTTAGGAATCTTTCAAGGCATATAAAATAGTCCTGAGAAAGTAAAGTTTTGTGACATGCAAAAACAAAGTTCTTAAATATTGTAAAACTAAGCTAAACAGTAGCAATCATTTAAATGACTGAGAAGCAAGTGCACATTGGAATTCACAAGAATTCAGTTTGCAAACTCAGTAAGAGAAAGAAGTGATTCGTATAAACACACACACAAAATGACAACTTCTTAACTGGATTTAACTGCAGGTCACATTTACAAGTGTCTTCAAAGCTATGATTAAGAGGTTGAACCAAAGCAAAAACATTCCTAATATGTTGTTTGATGAAACGGAATTAAAAAGAAGCTTGAAAAGTACCTTATTTGAAGGAGTTTCCAAATAGGGATTTGAAATTCTTCTGGACAGGGTCTGTAAGATAATTTGGTAGACCTTTAGTTTTGTTCTGGATTTTGCATAGAAAAAAAAAAAGTAGCAGCAATCTAGTCTTTTAGCTATTGAAATCTAAATAAAAAAGAATTTATCAAATCATCTGAGTAGTCTAACTGACATCTCCAAATAATATTTTTTTTCACATCGGGAAAAAGGTTTGGTAAATTCTATCCTGTGTTGTTTGTTACATTTATTCTTGATCTGGAAAAGATGAGCAATGAAGTGGCAAAGTCTGTAGACAACACATAATTATTTGGGTCAGGAAAGACCAGAAATGACAGTGAAGAATCTCAAGATAAACCTGAAAAATGCTGGGTGAAAAGACAGTATCATGATGAGCTCAACATCGAAATCAGCACGTACTAGAGGGAGAAAATGTAATTACACATCCTCTTAAGGAAAACTTTATCAATTCAGTAAAGACACCTCAGGGTCACAGAACACTTCTCAAGGAAGACCACTCTTCTAAATTAAATTCTTAACTGTAGTTTAAAGAAATTAGGATAAATGATGAATAAAATGGTGATCAGCAGGGAGATAACTAATGTAGATCAGCGTTATCTCTGACGTGCCACATGTTGCACTGGTAACAGCATCTCAAAAAATGAATACTCCAATATTAGAAGGGATTCAGACAATATTAGCAGTAGGAATAATAAAGGATTTGGATAAATTTTAATGTGAGAAGAGACAGAAAAGACTGTGTCTACCTTACAAAGGAGAGATTACAAGAGACGTAATGCAATTATACAAAATATCAAAATTATACAGAGAAAAGACAAAGACAGTGTTTCTGTGCTCTGCTTTACATTACATGAGAATAAAAAAATCACTCAATGAAATTAGAGAGGATTCATATTTGAGGAGACAGAAAGTGATAAATAAGTCTTCAGAGGAGGAAAATGCAAATGCCAAAACCTTACCACTGATCAATAAAGATTAGAATTGAAAGTTATAAAATTAACAGTGAACCAGAACTCTGGAAGGCAGAGAGAGGACAAACATCTTCAGGTCACCCAACCTTTACTCACAACGATACTCACTGTCACTGTTAAAAGACAAGATATTGTCTATGCTGATGCTTACTTGCAACTTCAATGTTACTACGAGCCACATATGACATAAATAAACATTGCCTAAAATAAACCTGGAAGCGGAACAGAAGATGTTATGCAGGTGCACTGGCATCACAATCGGAAGATCATGCAGTGCTCCCTCACATTATTCCAACTTGTAAGCAGTATAATTAATTCCTCGCTTTGAGAAGGATCCAATTCTCACTTGGTATATTGCAATCATAAAAAAGCCCTCATCCTTCACACCTTGTAAGAATTACAGAATCCATATTTCAGTAGCACCATCTGGTTTTTTCCCCCTGTATTTTTGTTACTATATTTTTAGAAAGGGAAGGGACAAGGAACACAGAAGCATCTAACGCTGTTTACCCTTCCATGCTCATCCCAAATGCGTAGTGTAGTTCCATGCATAACAGTAGCTCCATACGGAAATATTACAACATACAAGCTTAATTCCCCTCTCCCATAACCAACAAAGACGCTGTAAGTGTGCAACATTGCCTCAGATCCCACTTACTTTTCCTAGCCGGCATGTCATTAACACCTTGGTTCTGCAGCAGCCCGACATACCACCACTTCACTTGGTTTCTGTCCAAGTCTTTCATTCAACAAGCCTCACTCCCTGTAGCAGCACAGTCAAAGTCGATACATCGATTTCCCCCCTTCCTGCTCCTTTCCCAGACTGGCACTAACAGAGGACAGTTGAGCCTCAGCTGGGGAAAATACTGCTACTGCAGTGTGAAATTACATGACAGTATCAGATGAAACTCAGCAAAAAGGACAAATTTGGTTGCCTTCTACAACAGGGTTATAACAGTGATGGATAAGGGAAGAGTGACTGATGCTACCTACCTGGACTTGTGCAAAACATTTCAGACGAGGTAATGACTACAATGTACCACACCTGAAATGTTTCTATACCAACGCACACAGTATGAGGAACAAACAAGAGGAACTCAAAGCTTGGGCCCAGTCCCAGAGATTTGACATCATTGGCATACGTGAAACCTACTGGGATGAGTCCTGTGACTGGAGCGCCCTGTTGGATGGCTACAGTGTCTTCCGGAGGGACAGGCAGGGAAGAAGAGACAGAGGGGCAGCACTGTATATAACAGAAGGGTTGGAATGTATGGAGCTCACAGTTAGCAATGATGCAGTTGAGAGTCTCTGAGTAAGAATCAAGGGGCAAACAAATAATGCAGATGCCATCATGGGAGTCTGCTACAGACCTCACAGCCAAGACAATGACACTGACAAATTATTCTCTGAGGAACTAAGGGACACTTCCAATTCAACTGCCCTTGTCCTTATGGGGAACTCCAACTTGCCAGAAATTAACTGGGAGCATCACAAAGCAGATACAACTCGGGCCAGAAGATTCCTAAAAAACTTGGATGACAACTTTATGGAACAGGTCGTAAGGGAGTTGACTCAGAAAAATGCTCTCCTTGATCTGCTGCATGTCAACAGAATGGATCTCGTGAGTGAAGTAGAGATTGATGGCCATTTTGGCCACAGTGACCACGAAGCCATTGAGTTTAAAATCTCTGTTGATAGGAGGAAAAGTGCCAGCAAAACCTCTACTCTGCACATGAGGAGAGCAGACTTCAGGCTGCTCAGGGAATTACTAAGTAAGGTCCCTTGGGAAAATGTTTTTGCAGGTGCCAGTGCCCATCAGTGCTGGTCACTTTTCAAACGTGAACTCCTAAGGGCAGGCAATTCCCAAATGTCAGAAATCAAGCAGGTAAGGCAGAAGGCTGGCTTGGCTGAACAGGAATCTTCCCTTGGAAATAAGGCAAAAACAAAGGTGTATGCCCAGTGGAAGCAAGGTTAAGTACATTTAGCCTGTCATGCAGGAACCCAAACACCCAAAATTTCTACAAACATAAGAAAATAGAAGCTAATTACAAGAAAATAAAACAAAAGTGGAAGTGGCTTTCTGGAATAGAAAAAATTATCTTTCCTGTTGATACTAGTGCAGCCTGTGTAATGTTGAAACACTCACTGCAGTTAGGCTGAAATTGATAGCGAATTTTAGGAGTTTACGTCCTAGCTACCATGATAAAGACCTGTTTCTTTTCCTTTTTTTTTTTTTTTTTTTTTTAACATGCCTCAATAAATATTTAGTTCACCTCTGTTCATTAGACTCTACTTTGGCTGCTGGTGACAAACCGGACAGTCTCCTCTAAGAGAGAGGAAGAGGTAGTGGATTAGGGGTCCAGGCTTTTTTGAAAACCCCAGCCTTTGGGTGGCTGTGTGGGAGAAGCACCATTCCTCCCTGAAGGTATCTAGCAAATATAGGCTGCTCCTCCCAAATTATTTTGACACACACGGTGATTCAAAATACATTTGCAAATAACTAAAAACAAGCCAAACTGTGCTTTTAAAGCAAATTAATTAGTCATCAAGCAAACAACTCATCTCTCATAAAAACTACCTTGGAACAGTTATTACTGCCCATGCCAAGTGTTGCTTTCTAGCTACAGCCACCCTGGCATCCCCCTGTGCCTCTTCACAAGCTTGAGGAGAAGCTTTGCCAAACCATGTCAGGGAGAGGATGGGGATGTGGCAGCACGTGTGGTCCTGGGACAAGATCATATGTGGAGGAGATCCAGAGCCCCTCCAGAAGGGCTGTCCCATCATACATGAGTAGCTGTGCATAAGTGGCTTCAGCTTCCCTGCTAGGGATGCAGGAAGAAAGAAGCAGGGAGCTGGTGCTTTGGGCTGGACAATCAGAAGCCTGAACTATGAACGTGGCACAGGGATGGCATTGTTCTAGGTTGGGAACACGACTTATATGCGGCAGGAGAGGACAGCTGGGACAGGATGCCCAGGAGAAGGTTTTGGGATAGGACTGCTAGGATCCAAATCTGAACACACCACAGAATTTAGCCTGAAATTGGGAAAAATTATAGAGGTGTTTACTGTGGTAAGCACATGGTGTAAGAAATGGTGTGAAAAGAATGGGAGGATTAAAATAAAATGACCAGCAAGAAATTAAAACAACCAGAAGGAAATACTTCTTTACACTCCATATGACAATGGAATTATCAGCCAAAGAATCAAATATTCTAGCTAGATTGCTAAAAGCACAGTATCAATGACTGATACTACTATGCAAGGTCTATATCTGAGTTCAAATTAGTATTGCTTCAACTGGATAGTTATTTTTAAACAAGTTAAGAAATTCTGACATTACTTAAAGCTAAACATGCAAAGGTATTGATGATAATATTCTGATTTGTGAGCATAAACTGATTTTTGAAAGGTTTGGAAAGCAATGCCCCCAAGACATACTACACAACAAGTAAAGTGTACATACTAATGAAGCACATTTTGGTTTCCACTGGAAAGAACAAGTCCTATCTTACTGTAAGATGCTGACTTAGTTCTTTACTCAGGAGAGTACTGAAGTGGTTCCACTATAGCAACTCCCTGTGTATTTACTACAGCCTGCTCAATGTTCTATTCAAGGGCTAATGGTACTACAGAGTATGTTTTTTGTCATACCTTATAGAGATACATTTAAATTTTCTACTCATTTTTAACCCGGGATTTTGCTTTGGCCTCATCTCAAATCGAGAGAATGATTTGCCTACAAGTTGCTTGTGCTTTGCCTCTTGCCCAAGCTGTTCCAACAACTGCTGATATTTCTGCCACTGCCAACACTGCAGTCACAGTAGCATCAGCAATGCTCCATACATCTGCTAGCAATTTAATCACCATGATGCTCAGAAAGAAAGAAAGCAAGAGTGCTTGGAGTTCCAGTTCAAGTGCTTTCCTCAGCTGGGATTTAGTATGGTGGTAGCAGCCAGCAACCTGTCTACACTAGAAGTCATGCTGTAACACCTCAAAAGAGGCTGCAGAAATTGCATGAAAATAATAATTTCAAATATGGAACAG